TTAAATTGTAGGATATTAATATTAATTAAATAAACAATACCAGAATTAGACAAACATGGCGGCTTGGTATTCGGCGTATGACAAACTTACGTTATTTCCCTTTTTATTCGACAATTATTCGAAAATACAAGTCAGAATTTCATGGAGCCAAATGAATCTTCCGTACCGATTTAATGTCATGTTAATGACATTTAAAGTTAAATGTCGATATTGTTGCGAAAGTGCTGTGCGTCATTCGCGACGTCTCGATGCCGATGTTAACGCGTCGTATATTTCACGCTTACGTTTGAGTTTTCTGTTTTATGTTTAACAAATATTTTATTCGAAAACCCTCGTTATTCCCACGTTCCGGCCTTTTAGGTGGACGTTCGATATCTCTTAGAAATATCAACACGAGTAAATTTCAGATGTTGGCACGATAATTTTACTCTTCCGCGCGAAACTAACTCCGAATCGGGTTACTATACAGACACTAAATGGAAGAGAGAGAGAGAGAGAAACGCGAAGTTGAAGTATAACACATCAATCTGTCTCTGTGGCTGCATGCTGCAAGTGAATTCCGAGATGTTGCCAGATGGTTAAACTGAAAGCCAATTTTGCAAGGTAAATTCCTTGATTCCCAAGTCGACGTCGTCGGTAACGCCGCACTGCAGAATTTTCGCGTTTTATCGTAGCGAGAGAATGCCATGACACGTAGGATTGCGCAATTTAACGAACATTCAAGCGGTCACGGCTCGCTGATTTTCCGTCGGTAACCATCGAGTCATCGGTTTTCCGAATCCTGAGAGCTCTCATAATTTCGAATAACAAGAAAGTTGGACGAGACTATGAATGGAAACTTCTCGCAATTCAATTTACTCTTATCGGTTATCGGGTCTTGGACGTGCGCGGAAACGTCACTCAAACTCGAGAAACAAAGAAAGAAAAAGAGAGAGAGACAGAGAGAGAGAGAGAGAGAGAGAGAGAGAGAGAGAGAGAGAGAGAGACCGACCCTGCGTTTCCGACACAGTCGCTCGGGATATTTGTTTACTCGAACGTTCCATCAGGAATCCATAATAGTTTCTCAAATAGTCTTTTGTGTTTCCTTCGCTCTTTCGCGGAGAACGATGCGAATCTTTCGATTTGTCTCCTGCAAACTAGGCTAGATAATCAACTACTGTTCCCGCGAAGGTACATTCCGTCTCTTTTACACTTCTCTTTTACGCTTCTCGCAGTAGCGAGTCTTGGAAATTTACATTTCTCGATTTCTCAATTAGCACTTGAATACATTGCAGCTACTGTGCCTACGCAAAATCTTTGAAAAAAAGACAAACTTTCGAGAAATATATTTCTAAGTTATGCTCAAAGAAATTTCGAGGAATAATATTTATTCGAAACGTAACGTATATACTGAATTTTGAGTAAAATTCCATATAAATTCGTTACGGTTTTCCGCTTTTTCCAATTATAATGTTCGATAAAAAATTCTATATTTCTATATCCCGTATTGAATAAGAGAAGAAAAAATACATTGTCAGATTGAAAATGGAGCTCGCTGTGCTCGCAAAAGATATTATCAGAGGCGGAAATCCTATGAAATGCCCCACTAAATTCTAAATTTCGATCCGGAATGTTACGACGAGAAAATCAATGACAGCACAGAAGCGTCTCTCGGCTACCTTACGTCGCGTGAAATTGCAGATAGAATTTTGTGCCGAGACCAGTCGCGAATTATAAATCGTCTAAAAGTGAGCACGAGCGAGAAAGCGACGGACGATCCAATTTAGCGGAACGAGCGCGATTACGGTGGCAATAATTAGGAATTAATGCCGGCTGCTTCCGATCGATATCGAGAGGTATGCCGACGCAGGAGAAGCGCTGCACATTTGCATTTAAAGCAGCCTGCTCCCGTAGACATTGATATATCCCTGTCTATATCGTGGCTGAGATCGACTTTATTTATAGCCGTGAGCAGCGCATAGACGACTTCGCACGCGTCTTCGAAGGGAACGCAGGGGATAAAGGATACGCAGCAGATCCTTTCTAATTTAAACTCGGAGAGCTTATTTCGATGCAAAACCACGGCCATCCTTCCGGCTTGTAAGAAGCCATCTTCCATACCGCAAGCGACGAAAGTGCGCTCGTTCCTGAGAACGTAACGACAGACTTAACGATTCGCCGCTTATATAACCGAATGGGCCACTCGACTTAACGGCAGCGAAAATTACGAGGCTCTCGTTACGCGTTAAAATTCGCATGACTCGTCCGCAAATGACCGCTGGTTCTTTTGAAATCGTATAGCCCTCGGAGAAACGTATATCCAACTCGGTATATTCCTCTTCTTTATTTTACAGGAACAAACGATAATTGTACCGATAACTTCTTCGCCAAGATTCAGCTTTATCTTCCCGATGGTTTCATCGAGTTTTCGGGATTCTTCGCGCAAAAACTCGATGATTCAGTCGAAAACTCTGATCACGCACAATGTGCGAGCCAACGTGTGCTATATCTGCAATTGTTTATCGTTACCTTGAAATTTCATCGGGTCGGAACGAAATGAAATCGCGATATCAGGCTTTTACGAAAAAAAACAAAACGCGGAAGAATGCGGTTCAAATCATTCTACGGACAACTTGATCTCTTCGTCGGGATTGTCATCAGTGCCTCGTAGAGCTACACACACACACACACACGCACACACACAAAAGAGCTGTATCGGCCTCATCACGTACACGCGAACAGGGTCGAGTTTCTTGGCGCGAACACGACCGACCAGAACTGTTGCTTCGCTACTTAAAGCAACGCTTCATCGCGGCCGACTGCAAACGTCCATTTACTACTTACCGAGGGCGCACCGCGCGTCTGACCGTGCATCTCGTGTGGCCCCTATACTATTTAATCATGACGAATCCATCAGGAATTACCGTGATTGTCCATTGACTGCGTACCGATCGGCCACAGTGAGCGATTCGCACGGCGGATCGTTCACGATGTGCGGATACTTATTAGCGTCGATCGAAGTTTAATGCGATTATCTGTTGATCTGCGGTTAACTGCTGATTACTGAATACTGAAAGACTCGACTTCGCCTCGTATTACCGATTAACTGTATGCGCAACATCCCCGAGGGGATGATTATTTGCGCGATATATTCGATTCTCTCGTCGCCGAGAGCGCACGAGAAACCGCGCAAGTCCGCCAAAATGGACGCGCTTGCAAAATTCGGACTGTCGACTTTGGCTATAATTTTTCATCTGAGATTTACCACGTAACAGATCTTTTTCCGATTCTTTATTGATTACTAAATTTCTAACTTTACTTGGAATTTTCCTCACTTCTCCATGGCTATTCTGCTTTTCGTTTCGATGAATTTCCGGGCAAATGAAAATCATACTCGCGTCTCTCGTTTGTTTCCTGTCGCCATTTCGCAATTTTCAGGAATTATTGAAATTGTCTCGGACATTTATTTATAATTCCCCGAGGAATCTGTGAATATAAAAAATCACCTCTTATCCGGTAACCCGACTGCTTTTTATATTACATCTTGAGAATCGAATCTCTGGTATCAAGGGAATTCATAATTTGACGCGCGTTTACGAAATCAAGACTCCACCATTAGCGCGAACTCTAATCCTTGAAGCTGCCACATACGCGACGGGAGAGCTTTAATATCCGAGTGGAATTTCTTCCACACTATATCACAAAGAAAGTTCCTTTTAAACGTTACTCCGGGGAGGCATTCGACCGGTCGGAACGCGCGGCTGCCCGAGGCGGAGAAATAAAAATTATCATCGTCATATGTAGATACCGTCGCGAAATAGCCTGTCACACAAGCACTTCGTCTTAACATTATTATTTCTTTTACTACTACGGTGCCGCTTTTATCGTCGACCCTTCCGTAACACTTTATTGCCCGTAGACGACGCGATTTCAACGTTGCACAGTTTCTCCCGTTTCTTCCCTTTATCGGCATCTCGTCATCGAAACAATACTTTCGAGATATAGAGTCCAATTGACGCGATACCAATCTATCGAAATCCGAGAGCAGCTTTCTCTTCTTTTTTTCTTCAAGAGATGAATTTAAGAAATAGGTCGACACGTGTATTTTCCTTTTGAAATTGCGATCCTTTTCACAGAGAGCACGCACGAGTGTTCCCCACGTCATTGTTACCTCATATTGTTCTCTTGAATAAATTTCGGAATTTCCAGTTCGCGGAAGGCGGAGGAAGCAAACGTCACGCTGTGAGATGTGTAATATCGCACGCGAGAACGTGCGAACGGCATGTAAATATTCGAGCCGCGCCGCGCCGCGCCGCGCGCCGAGCTCGAAGCTCGCGCGCGCCTCTTTCTCTCTGCTTTTCTCCCGAAACTTAGTTCATAAACTGCAACGCGATTAACTAGCGCTATCAACGTGACCAGGACCTGCCCGGTCGCCCGAAGGGAACGGAAAGCGCGAGAAGCAACGACGACAGCGCGCGACTATAATGCGCGAGAGCTCAACGTATTTCCCCGACGTCCAACTTCCCGCCAGGACGAACGGCGGGTCCGGAGGTGGGTGCATTTCTCTGCAACTTGGTAATTGGCTTAGGACGGGACCTTCAACTCGCGAATGTCTCTTGTGAAACCGCTACAGTCCGCGCGTACCATACTCGAAACGGAAACGGTTGTGGTCCCGGGGTCGTTAGTCGGCGGGTAAAGATTGCGGGGATCACACGAACTCTTGTGATATCTTACAGATACACAAAATACTCGAACAGCTTGTCGCATCCATGCATTTCACCTCCTCGCGACTTCTGCGCTCTGTCAGCCGCGAGTCATGTTCGTGAACTCGCTGTGGGGTGAAACGTCTAGTAGCCGCTCTACTTTCGTTTATTTTTTATTTATTAATTATTGATAACTAATTAATTTTACTAAGTTCATTATTTTATTATATTAGTTATTAATTAATGATTAATTAATTTTGTTTGTTAATTGCTTCGTGATCTTTAAGTTGCTTATGAATCATTTACGAATTACTGCTCATTATTTATTCACTTACTATTATTTATTATTTCCCGTGCACGTTAATACTGAATCAAATGCGCACGAAAGTGCCGAAAACTGACGGACGGCTATATTATCCTACTTTGCGTCTCTCATCCTTTTAAGACACGCTGTTACGGCTATCTCTTCCGCGAAGTCTTTCCATCCGCGAGTGTCCAGCCTCTTTTATCGAACCAATCGACGCGCTGTCCCCAACTTCTTCATCCTTCGTTGCAAAGAATAATTAATTATCCATCGAGGACGGAGTGACGATATTTCTCTGCGCCTCGGAGACCGAGCCGAAGCGCATCCTCGCCTGGAGATTCTTCGTGTGAAATTTCCGCAACAGTCTCGCGTCGTAGAAATTCTCGATGTCGGCGATCCCGTGGTGAACGGCAGCCTCGGTCGTCGTCAACAACAAAGAATTCCAAGGCGCCCACTCGAGCTCGCGGCGGAAGCGCGTAAGTCGCAGCTCGTCTAGGTCGTCGCACTCGGAAATGCCGGACCGACCATGCCAAATCTCGTTCACCAGGCGGTAAACGACCTTGGCCCCGATCACGAAAGCCAGGCTACCGTAACAACCAGTCCTGGTCTCGCAGCGCCTGATCTCTCGCAACATCCTTTCGTAAGGATCGTACACCACGCGTGGCTCTCTTCGGGTTCGCATGGACGTGCAGTAGACGCAGATGGAAGACCGCAGTCGACGTTCCCGGGGAAATTTCTCCAAGGGCAGCAGCCTGCCGCAGGTTCTGCAGAGCCGCGTAATGCTTGCGTCCAACCAGCTGAACCGCGAATCCTCCTCGAGGTCCCCTGAAGGAAATAAGAATGATTAATTAAACACTTAGGACCTATAAAGTGTGCACTAGAGCTCGATGGTGTAATAGATGTCGCTGTTCAATTAAATCCTGACTCGCAGGGACTCAGCGATTGCGACATTCCAGGAGGAAACAAAACGCGGTAAATATTTGGAACAATACAAACAAGCCAATGTGTTGCCAATTGCTCACTCAGTCGATAACAATCTCTAATACCTCGGGAACAAATAATTCTGCTTCCAATTCTGTCCAAATCTTTCAATTTTCGATTCTGCTTAACTGTAAGATCGAAAACAAAATCGAGAAGAGCGAAACGATCAAGCAATAAAATCGCGTTCGAAGCTTTCCGAGAAAAGCTTCGTGCAAGATGCACACAATGAACCTTCGGACAAATCGGTCGACTTTTACAGTGTTGTTGCAACATTTCAACATTACGCCGATCTAGTTAACCGAGCAAGATAACGACATCCTTATTTTGGCCTGCTGCAGCAGCCGACCGCTCGCCCGAGCATTTTTTCGCGAACAAGTGGACAGATTATTAGAGACACTACTGAGCTACGAGAGCTCAGTAGAGACCTTGTAGAGCGTTGCGCGCCAGCTTGAGGAAGCTCAACTTGAGCCTGTTCCTCAGCCAGTTGAGTCTGCCGGTGTCTACGCGACGTGTCAGCAACGCCAACTCCTGATCCACCAGATAAGCGAGTTCGAGCGACTGGCTGCACGTGTGCATGCCAGCGACGCGCCTCAGGCCGCACAGTAGATCAAGCCTCTCCGGCACGGACAGGTTCTCGTTGGCCAACGAGGCGTACACGTTCCTGTGCTGGCGGGCTCGTTGGACGCGTAGAGTGTCCACCAGAACCGCTCGGCCGCGGCTATCCTGCCAGGCGACCGGCTTCGACAGCTCGTCCAAGAGCCTGCGTCGTTTCCGTTCCCTGTACTTGACGCGCGCGGCGCTCCTCATCGAGTCCATGGCGCGCAGCAGCTCGACTTCCTTCGACAGGATCAGGCCGCAGGCGGCGACCCTCGAGGCACCGAGGAGCGTGCGGCTCGCCCGCTCGCTCTCGAGGATTCGCCAACGGTCCAGCAGGTTCCGCAGCGACTCGAAGTCCGAGCTCGTTCGCGGCGACCTGCGATTCAGTATCGTGAAACCGGCGCAGCTGCTGAGCGCTTGGAGCTGCTCCGCAGGTGTCGCCGTTGCCTCGTTGTCTTCTTGGGAAATTTTCGCCGCCTGGAGGCTGGTCCCTTTGGCCGCCGATCGGCGAGCTCTGGCTCGGTGAGCTCTGCGATCAAAGGATGCATTATGAAATTCTTGGGAAGTGGGAATCATCGATTATTCCGTTATTCCGTTGTTCACGAGTGGTCTTGTCGCAGACTGAGCGGAACACCTTTCATTCGCTCGCTTTCTTTCAGATCCCGAGGTGTTGCGAGCGAACGAAGTCGATTCTGATTGTGCACAGTTGCCTCTCTGAGGTAATTTCGCGATATTTGAGTGTGATTGTGTTGAGTATTTTCGTGATTATTGAGAAATTACTTGAAAAAGCGGCAGGAAATGGTAGCAGCGAAGTGTACAGCGAGTTCTGTAAGCACGACCTGAGGAAGACGTTTTGAATTCCTTTAGAAATAGACTATTAAAAAAATTGTAAAAGTCAGATAACAGAGCGATACTGCAGATTATCATTACGAGATACACGACGGCTGAAAATGTAGACTCTCACGTTTGAAGATTCAGAAACGCTCGGCTCAATCGACATGTGCGCTCCTGTTTGGCTTCAAGTAGATTTCGCATCGACGAGATATTACTGTGGTCGGTCACGAGGACGATGCAAAGTTGATTGTCGCACAATCGTGTGTGCTTCACGAATGCGAATTTCGAAGGAAGAACCTTTTTCATAAAATCCACGTTATACCTGAAACACCTTTGTATCTTGAGAACACTGTCGAGAAGTAGCTGGTTGTTATCTTGAAGAGCCGACGACTCGACCTCCTGAATCGGCGCGGTGTTGAGGTAAGAAACGCCAGACGTGACGACTCGGTCGCGCGCGTCCGGTAAGAACTGCACCTGCACCGCCTGATCGTGAACGACCTCGGTGATGGCGTCCGCGACCGCGACGGTCTGCGTGATCCCGTCGCTTCTGGCGATGCCGCAACCGTGCGTCTGTGTGCAGGCGTTGTGATAAATCAGACCGGTAAGCGTGTTCTTCCATCCGCCGAGGAACGGCTTCGTCGTCCTTGGGTTGCGGTCCTGTGTCCCCGAGACAACCGCCATGACCTACCGGCGGCTATCCCATGAGATCTAAACGTCTGCATTTACAAGGAAAAGGTTTCAGCTGGGCCTTGGGAAAGCTGGTGAATGAAACGATAATATCCACGCCATCCAATATCCACGCCACGATAACGAATAGATTGCGTGCCGCACTGGGCGGAAATGCGAAATGGAAAAATATCAAGTCAACACACACACACACACACATATATACAGTGAGCTGAATGCTCTACTTGAAATATTTGGGGAATGTTCTCCGATAGTCGATTACAACATGTCTCATTAACAAAAATGAGATAGTTCTCGTAGCGAAACTTCTGACTCCCAAGTTTCTCTCTCTCTCTCTCTCTCTCTCTCTCTCTTTCTCTCTGCGATGATATTTTTCGAGTTTTGAATCAGAGTGAGCTCGATATATTCCTCGGTGTCAAATCATGACGAAACGTGTATAATCAGAAAACTTTGATAACGTCATCCAATGATTTTCACATCAGATGTGACGCAAAAACAACTCGTAATACGTAAATTACACACTCGCGACGAGATTAATACATACATATATATATATATATAATGAAAATATAGATATTTTATACATACAACAATGTGAATAGCTCGATAGTGCAAAATCGCGAGAGAGTTCTTTCATATTCGCGCATTTTCACCTTTAAATCTCGCCGAGGAAAAGCGGAATGAAATCACGAAATTAGTTTTACATATACGGTGAAAAAGAAAAGGGAAAAAAGAAAAGCGCGAGGAATGCAGTTCAAATTATTCCACGGACAACTTCATCTCATTTCTCAGAGAATTACCTGAAGATTGTGGCGCGTTTCGCGGCCTCGAGAATTATTCTTTTATTTTTTTTTTCCCGTGACATTGGCGCGCGCGCGCGTGAACGCGGGAGGAACGACATTTCCAAGATAGAAAATGATTTATATACCGGGAATATTGTGCAACGGCACAGTTTACTCGTTACGTACACAGCACGATGAGTTACTAGTGGCAATTTGTTTTTACGACCGTTACCGCAGATTACTTTTAGTTTATTATACCCTTCCCCCGTCCCCCGCGCGAAACTTGCACACACCTGGGGGGAGGGGAGAGGATGGAAATGGCGGGAGCGTGAACGTTTTCAAGAATTAGCGACACACAGGGAAGCGCTCCCGCGCGCCTCTCTCCAGCCTGGACTCTGCTCTCGATGTTCTTGCCGCGCGAGAATTACGGCAAATAAAATGCAGGCCGGATTTGTCCCGATCACCTGTGCATATTTTCAGGCTCGGTGCGTACCCACTTTCCTGGCAGGTGGAGGGGATGGGCGGGGGCGAGAGAAAAAATAATTAACCTCTTGACTCGTACACGCGACTGTCGGTGTCCGCGGGTACTTTCAGAAAAAACTGCCTCGAGCCCTTTCCCGGTTCGATTGTATTGCCTACGAACGAACGAACGAACGAACGCGCGCGTGGGCGCGAACGCGAGGTGGGAAACGGCGTCGGCTATTTCGCGATGCTCCATTTTCCTCAGCGTTGCTTGTAACCGCCCCGCGCGATCCTTTATCTTCAGCATTGCCGTCGTGACGCAGTGGTCTCCCCATCCCCCGCGGGACTTAAGCGCCTACATTCATAGACGAGAGAAAAAACTCCGCCGGTCGCAGGTCGAGGAAGCGGAAGGATAACTGCCGCGGCGACCTGCCGGGATAACGGTAATACCGGCAGTAAAGGAAATTACTATTCTCTCGGTTTAAAGGATCCGACAGCGAGCTACTGTGGAAAACTGCGCCCCGGCACAGCTGACGCTTTGCACCTTTCCGCGAGCTCGCTGACGTCGCCGACGATATTGATACGCGCTGTCGCGCCTCGCTGGCTGCAGCGATGTCAACCGGCTCGAAAATCTCCGACGGACGTTTCGACGACGCTTGAACCTCCTTAGGGGTGAATTGATTTAGATCGGAGAGAAAATGAGTTAATCCTCGCAACGCGACGCAAATACGCGACGGCGGATTCTCTGCATCCTGTGGAATTTTGCGGCGAGTGTCACCTCAGCTCGTCAAGGTCGATTACCTTCATAATCGGGCACAACTTTGCTCCATAATATATTGACCGTTTTTACGATAACGAGTCGTTAGAAAAAACAAAGGAATTAAAACTGTGAGGTTATCGGCTTGGAGTTTTTCATGGAAACCCCTATTATCGAACTTATCGAACGAGTCAATATTTCGTCGACGTAATATTCGAATTTAAGTAGAAAAACTGAACGTATCTCTAAATGTGCATGTATGTGCCAGCATCTCTGAGAAGATCACGGTAAATGTAGCAATCTTTTGGACGCTCGAGAGCAACGTGAAAAGTTGCTGTATGAATCGTAGAAAAAAATTGGTTTCTCTACGATTTTTTCGCATATATGTCGATATACAAGTAATCTTCTTACAACATATGTCAAAGTCATTGATTTTGAAGTCTAAGTGGTTACCATTTACACCATGTATAGGAACAATCTTTCCGCCCTCCCTCCCTCCCTCTGTACGCACATAAGCAAAATCGCACGAGTATTTTTTTGCGGTCAAAGTGAGATCACTTATTGGAATCTTTCGCACCGCGACCCCGCTTTTTGGCCTCGCGTGTTAACCGCCGCCGCGTCCTTTAGCTTTTGGCTGACCTATTATTCCGCAAACATACGGATTTCTAAATCCTCAGCCTTGCGGGGCTCCGGCTCTCCGGACGTTTGGATTTATGACTTGCTTATTCCACGGATTCTTCACATCGCGGTATCTCGGATTTGTAAATCCCTGATCCTCAAGAGCCTCTTCTCTCCAGCTCCGCGCCGCTCAAGCTAACGAATTGATTCCCCTCGCGGGCAAATAAATTTCATTAAAAATGAATAACACTCGCGAGGAATAAATAAATTCCATCGCAATTACATTCGTCGCCGCGTAATGCGACGACCGTGAAACTGCGAACGTGACGCGCTTGTTTTTCGGCAGGGAAACGCTGCGTGTTAACGCGCAAGATCTCGGGAAGTATACACAATCGCGCCTTATCCTGCTCCCTTTCGTCGTCCTCTCCGACAACGAAACAAGGAAATACTCTTAGAGAGCGCCACGCCGCGGTCGGCTAGTCAGCGAAGAAAGTGGTCTCGAAAGAAGTAACTTACATCAAACGATGCACCCGGCGAACGGCGCGGTGACAGTTTACGGACAATAATTATGAAAGATGTTAATTTCGGGTCGGAGGGTGCGCTCGCGCACGGAACGACGCAGGCACGGAAGAGAAGACGAGATTGCGTGAGATAACGCACACACGAGACCACCCCCGCCGGGAAGTAAGTACCCCGTTGATGCTTTGCGTCGCAACACGATACACTTTTCCGTTTGTATTATGAATTACACGCGAGAAAATTCCAGGACGAGGCACGAAGGGGCAAAGTGTTGCTAAGAGACGACACGTCGCGCGACGAAACTTCTCCGAGAGGAAAGCTGGGAGGAGGAAGGAAGGAAGAAAGGAAAGAAGGACACTTGCATATTTATGCAAAAGGAACAGTATCGGGGGAAAGGAGAGGGGAGAGATTTTAAATTATATAGATATAAACGGACCGAAAGTTCGCCCCCGACGCTCTTCTTCGCCTTGTCGCCGGAAGTTAGCGAGCGCCGTCGCGCGAACGCGCCGGTATAATTCGCCGGTAAACTGCTCTGCGGCAAATATAGGTAAGACAAAGAAGATGATGAATGATCGTGCGGTGAACGAACCAGTCGAACAATCGTCGGGCGAGAGATCGAGAGAGAAAGCGCGACTCGAAAGTGGGCTCGCCTCTCGGAAACGGAATCCAAGTGTTGGGTGAGTGCGAAAGTTTTGATAGATTTCGCAATAGAAAAATGGATTGAGCAATTTGATTAAAAACGATCGATTCATCCTACCAAGTAATCGCCGTAGTTTTCTAGTATCTGCTATATTATGCATCTGCATAGTTGTAAGTGCTGCCATAAATCTGATATCAATCACGATGCTTTTGGCAGTCCCACCGAAACTTTTGCATTCAATAAATAATTAGACTGTTACTGTCGGGCAATTATTATATCCATAATCGAGTCTTGTATTTAAGATCGTCTCGTAAGTTCAGCTTCAGATGTCGATTTACGCAGCATCCGAGGGTGAGAGTTTGAGGCGATTTTTTAAATATAAAATCCGACTATGAACTCCGGGGAGGTGCATTGAGAAATATTAATAATTGAATCTAGCGCTCTACACGTACGACACGTAACAATGCGTCAACGAATATAGCTTCGCTGTCGCGACGGCGAAATGAACGGATAAACAAACGGTCGTCGATCGATCGCGCTCGCAAATAATTTAACCAACGACCCCGATGTAAACGAGATTCTAGCGAAACAGTGTGCACCCACAAAAGAAATAATGCACAATGAGTACAAAGAAGGGGAACGCATTTGTGTTTTTCTTTTCCTTTTCATTTTTTTGCAACACACATACAGCACGCGGAATCGTCCTTAATTGGACGCTCGAGAAGTACGAGTACGAGCGATGATGATTGGAGAGCCGGAGTATTACGGCCGATCTCTATGTTCGTCGAATTTAATTGCCGCGTCGCGCAATTATTCGAGCGCATAAATATTGATGCGTCATATTTTGCGCCGATGCAGCCGCGGCACTCATTATCACCGAGGACGTCCAATCGGACTTCTCGACGGTAGCTTTTACTAATTCTGTGTGGATTTCTTCCTTTTCTTTTCTATTATCGAAATCACTCGAAATCGTGCTAACGGGGTGAAAATTCACGGAAGAGAACATTTTGTCGAAGCTTACCGTGAGCCATTCGTAGTGTCTCTTCGCCGCGCTTCTATCATGAGCGCACTTCATAATTTCCATCGAAAAATCTTCATAACAGGTCTCTCTCTCTCTCTCTCTTTCTCCTTTTTTTTTCTCCCTTTCGCTCTGTGATGTTTGCCTGTTTCGCCTGTTGCAACAGCTTCGCGATTTCCAAGCGATCTCGTCGACTCGTTAACGAGAATTGCCTGGCGCGATTAAGCAGCGAAACACTCCGATCGCGCGTGCACTTTACAGAAGATTCGCTCGGATTCAGCCGTGTCGGCGTGCAAAGTGGTCGCCAATCAAATCACGGCACTCTCGCGGGATCCGACGAGGGACGACGACGAGTCGATCGTCCGAGTGCGGCTTTTAATGCGGAAACGCGGCTGCCACGGGACTTTCGCAGCCGTAAGTCTGAAAGCTCAAGGCCTTAAATCCAACGTTGCCAATGGCAACGTGCTTGGTCGATCGGTCAAAAGCCCCTTCTTGTCCATTATTTTCCGATTTTGCGTCCCGCGGCTCAAAAGCACCGGCATACGACGGATATGAATGCACAGCCGCGGCGAGGCATTATGCGCCTCGGGAGCCGAAAATTTTCCGCGGTATTCGTGTCTCTCCGTAGCCCTCTCTCCCTTCTTCTCCCTTCTCTCTCTCTCTCTCTCTCTCTCTCTCTCTCTCTCTCTCTCTCTCTCTCTCTCTATGTCTCTCTCTCTCTCTCTCTCTCTCTATGTCTCTCTCTCTCTCTCTCTATGTCTCTCTCTCTCTCTCTCTCTCTATGTCTCTCTCTCGTGCTATTTCCTACCAAATCCATATGTAGGGCGGTCGGAGTCAAACACGCGCCTTAAACCTCAAAAGCGCATACAGTGCGATACACTCGATACGTTCTCTCGATACGTGGATCTCCGGTGTATTTGTACGCTTTCCTCGTGTTCCATATCGCGGAGAAAGGGAACATAGGTGCGCGCGTATACGGGGTAGGCCTGCATATCTCTTCGCGATAAATTTCGGAATAGGCGGAATCGTGGGAACGATCGTGCGATTTCCGTGCGTTCCGGCACTGGTCGAAGTGAAGCGAAGGAAAGTCGCGACCGCCAAGTGTACGCTCGCGCGTCGTTGGAGTACCTTTAATTGTGAGTTCGCTCGCAAGTTTCGCTTGGATGCTCCACTTCTCTTTAAAAGTATTCAGCTCCTCAATTTTCCTCATACTCCGGGAGTACAGGAGAAACTTCTAAGTGACGTTCCAGTTGATGTCCGCCATGAAACCGTGAAACTTTTATCTAAGAAATTTTCTCTTGTCCACCCTTGCTTGCGTCTCGCCGAGTAACTCGCCTGGCGAGCTTGAAACGGAACACCCTGTATACGCGGGTATTACGTAATTAAATAAAAGCGAGTAACGAGCAAATTTAAATACGCGGACTTTGGGCTCTCGAGAACTCTTGCCTCTCTCTCTCTCTCTCTCTCTCTCTCTCTCTGTTCTTTTTTCTCTTCCTGGTGTTCCTCTTCATTTCCCTCCTTTATTTATCCGGCGTAACAAACCGCGTCGAACGTAAATCAGTTCGGATTATCCGCCCTTCTCGCGACCAATTAAGAACAACACGGCCGATATTTGCAATGCAAGTATTGTATAAGCCAGAGACTGCGTTGCGGGGCGATAGAGCGATGCAGGACGGAATGAACGACGGCGGATACTGACTTCGTAAAGCTGCTAACAATTTATAACCCGTTACGCAATAGCCTTCGCAGCAAAAACTGCATGCCGACGTCGTTGTCGGCGCATCTACGTGTTCCTCACGTGAAATGTTTTCACTATCACCGCTCTTTCTTTCTCTCTCTCTCTCTTTCTCTTTTTCTCTCTCTCTCTCTCTCTTTCTCTCTCTCTCTCTCTCTCTTTCGCCGTCGCATCCGCGCAATATCGTCCGCGGCGCCTCGGAGCAACGTTGCGTGCACGCCGGCTGTAAAACCCTCTCCGCTATTTCTCCAGGGATCGGCGCAACAATACATATCGACGATTCCGAAAAATTCATGCATTTTCAGCGGTAGAAATATACCGCTCGCGCGCGCTCATAACTCTAAACGCGCGCATCACTCGCCTAATCGAGCGTACCTTGGGAATTTATTTATCTCGTCGATATTATCGGCGAGACAATAACAGGTGAACAGTTATTGCTCTTCAACGATACAAGTATGAAGTATTCCTTCCCCTCTTGGTCTGAAGACTCTTGTCCTGCCGAAATTGGGATGGGTCGTTCGCTGTTCGCATCGGCTCGCCCTTGTTTACCGCCTCTGTTGTCGATAACGGGAGACCAACAGCAGGCCGTCCAATTTCGTGCATAATTAAAACGCATGATCCGATTTGATCGCATAATGCACTGCAAATTAGTTTCGGCAAAGCGCCAGCGGCTTTACCGACTAATATCGCTGCGCCTCATCTGCAAGATGTTCGATCGATTTTTCGTGCTGTCTACTTACGTGTTTGTGTGCTATCACGTACATGCTGTCACGTTTCGTGTTTTTTATCAAAGCAGAAGAAACATATGCCGGGAGAGAGACGCAATAGTATCATTGTTCGTTATAGATGAAGGAATGGCAGAGCTTTAACTCTCAATATTCCAAAGTTACTGTAAACAAATCTATTATACAACGTTCAGATTACTTGGTTACTTGTGTGTGGCGACAAATATATATATATATAGTTTCTTTTTATTTTAATTCACGTATTAAATTATGATTGCAATCATGCAAACTTATGAATTATTTACGATGAGTTATAACTAAAACGACAACATTTCTTATAAAGCTCGCAAAAAAGGTCAAGAAAGCTCCTTTCTGTTTTTAAATTCAAGCTACTAAACCAACTACTAACACTGCTAATTAAGACTTACGTAAAACTTGATAAGAGCCACCACAGGATTTTTCGAGTTTCATAAAAAATTTTGGACGTTTCTGAGACCGTCGGAGCGCAAACGGTTAATTCGCTAATTCTGTCCGCGTAATTTACGAAGGATATTGGAGTCCAGGCAACCTCCAAGTTGACCACAATACGCTTGCAAAACCGCATCAAATATTTCAACGGCTTTCATTCGCTTTAGTTTATTTCGGTCTTTTTTCCCTTCTCTTCGCCGTACCGTAACAGACATACCGCGCATTTTATTCGGACAATATTTGTACAAACGAAATACCGGGAAACTGGATTGTAACGCGAAAGAATAAAATCCATATATAACGAAAGTTTATTGAATCTCCGACCAATGCCCACGCCAATATATAATTCGCAATAGCGATCGTTCGATAACGTCCAAGTGAAATTGATCGGAAAGTTCATTACGGAGATATTTTGATCGGGATTCACATTCGAAACGCGACTACAATGAAATTCCTGTCATGGCTCGTAATTTCAGCACGCATCATAATTCTCTACGATCAAGGGTAGTTTGTGCCGCTTGCCGCTTTGAATCGCGTGGAAACGACCGGATTCCCGGAAGTCTTTCTCGAAGTCGATCAATTGTCTGAAATCGATGAAACAAGATCAAAAAATGCCTTCCTTAGATACTCGACACTCCCGATGCAAGTCTTAAAAGTCTTCGAAATTTTCTCTCTACGCAGTTTAGAGAGAAGAACTTAAGTGAATGAGAATATAATTATCGCACTCGCGTACTGGAAGTGATTCTTCGCGATCTGATGCGCCAAGCCGATCTGATCGATCAGGTGTTTCGAGTAAATCATAGCGGGATCCTTAATGCGAGAGTGCATGTCGGCTTCGTCCTCCGTCAAAAGGATACAGTTCCAAGGCGCCCATTCCTCATACGTCTGATATCTGATCAGTCTTAGAAGAAAGAGATCCGTAGACTTGCTGACCGCTGATTGACCGTGCCAGATGTGATTAACCAGATGATAAATATCGTGTCCTTGCATCATAAATGCCAAGGCGGAGTTGCTACACCGACGTAACTCGTCAGCCCGCACGCAATCCAATATGTATATGTAAGAATCGTAATCCACGTGTGCGATGTTGCGTCGACTCAAAGAGTCGCAGCCTTCAAAAGCAGGATAACCGACTAATATACTAATTTAGACGAGCGCTCGAAGATGAAAAAAGAATGATCGATCAAAATTTACAGGGTCTCGTTGATAGAGAAAATCGCGATATTGAGAGAAGAGATATGTTAATATTTTGGAGATTGATTAATTAGTCAATATTTAATATCTTAACTGATATATTTTTTTAGAGATTAATGAAAAATACTTTACCATATAAAGTCTATTAGATACATATACTTGTACTTGCATCGATGATGCATCAGCGAAAGAAACGGTAAAATACTCACTGATGCAGACCGATAGCTTCCTCGTTCTACTGTGTGGTAAGAATCTGCGATCGGGAAGTACTTTTAAACAACTTCGGCAGAATTTTGCTTTTGTTTCTAAAGGCTCCCGCAATTCATGGTCTTTAGAATTCCCGTCGACAGCTTCGCAGCCGCAGATACCGTGCATGCTCGTAAAATTTAAGTAGATATCTGCGATAGAAGGCGCATTTATTATATCGCTGCTGAAGCAAGCAAGTAGTCGTAAATGCGATGAAACGTTAAGCATGTAATTTACAAACTGCGAGATCCAGGAAACTTTAAACAACTTGGAAGTTCTAGTTGTGAACTTCAATTGTCTAAACAAAGTCCTGGGAGAAATCTCTCCGTAGGAGATATTTAATTCGTAAATATAAATTTTGCCTCTCTCGAATTTTTCTTAAATTATACCAAATACGTATACACACAAAGAACATAAATCTATAACGTGTTTAAATCACTTGGTCACTTGGCGACAAAAGTGTACATATATGTAAATTTTTTCAGCTATGATTTAAATATAAAATGTAAAAAGTATTTTACACATTGTCGATAGATGATTATGTGAACGCTCGTAATCGTGATAGGTAAGTCAACATTCCGCTTGTAGCACCAATTATCTCCCCTGTTTTCGTATTTCTCATTATTCGCTACGAACGACAACGTTATTTTAAAACGTTGACAAATCATCTCATCTATCTTACGCGTTATCCTCTCGTTTAGACAACCGAGTGACGACAAATCCTTAATTCCTCGAGTCAGCAAAGCGATCTCTTGGTTTAACACAGACAACAGTTCGAGAGCTTCCGCGCAATCATGCGCTTCGACCGTTCCTCTCAACATCATCAATAACCGCATTCGCTCGTTCGATCTAACATCGCGGTCGTTTAATGCCTCATAAAACGCTTTGAACTGCCGAGCCTTTTGAATTTTCACGGTGACCATCTCCACCGGTATACCCCTGTAACCGATCCAGCGTATCGGTTTACAGTTGAGCGTCAGGAATCTGAGAACTCTCCTCCTCCTGTACGAGCTCCTGATCGCTTGTTTATGCTTATCGATGTGATTTAACATCTCCACCGTTTCCTCCAGGATCCTGTAATTTTCGGCACGCTGCGCAGCCTTGAACAGTCGCGACTTTATGTCCTCGAAACGGTCGGACCTCCATCTCTCGATCATGTTGTAGAGTATGTCAAAGTCCTCCCTCGATCGTGGATTTACTTGCCGAAGGATGTTCTGTTTATGTCGCATTCTGCAAGAATAAACGGACGTTGGCGCACGCAAAGTGCGATTTTACGGCGACGCGTGCGGGACAGCTCGAACGAGACCGTCCGGTTATCATCGGCGGTATTGCGAATTATGAGGAAAAGGACTTTTTTATGTGCAGAAAGATTGACCGGCCCCGAGAGAGCGCGGAGAACCCTTCATAAAATATATTTCTCTACCCTGGCGCTTTTTCAAGCTATCCAAATAGGAATACAGGATTCCCTTCACACGGGATAAATATTCTTCGATAAGAATATCAAAGTGTCACCTCGTAAACGACCTGAAATCTAAAAGCTGCTTGCGAGTAAGCTTCAGAAATACAGAAATATATGACGAGCATTTATATCTTTCGTTAAATTCCCCTGCTAAGTCTTGACGGAACTTTAGCGTCGGGTTTATAAGCGCGGAGGAGGAGTTTAGAAGCGAGCGAAGATCGTTTTATTAACGAAGAACGGTCTGAGTTGTGTCCTTTTTTCTGATAGGTCTTCGATATATTGCATAGAAGCCACTCGTGGGTACTATCAAACTATATTTTTTTCAACATGTCTTAGGAAGAATCGGCTTTCTGACTTGTGACAAAAAAAGAATATAACAGTTGTTTGGCTGAATTAACTTGTTTATAGCAGCTTTCTCTTCCTCGCGTTTTTCACATTTCTCGAGCATATCGCGATAGATTCGCGCGCACTCCTTGATGTACTTCCTCAGCCTGTACGCCCGGTAATTCCTCTGAATTACACGCGCGTGTCCGTCTAAATTGAGCTGCAGTTGCATTTCGGCATAGCTCTCATATGACTTCACCGTCATGTACTCGTCCGCCTGGTTAGGTATATAACAATCGTCTCTAAATCGATAGAATAACAATGTCAATCATGCGATCCTTTTCTGACAGATATTACGTTAGAACCATCTCCAAAATTTGTCCTTAATTTTACTCCTCGAAACTTCGATGTATGATTTCATGCATTGTATCTTTCGCGCGATTAGCGAACAAAATCCACGAAGAGAGCGTTGTTTGCTCACGACATCGAGTGTCGCAAATTTCCCCCTGTCAAAATATCGTACCGCCACATTTGAGTCGCATGGTGGCATAATGTTTGTGTTGTCCCATCTTTCGTTCTCACACATTGAACCATTCTGCTACACGTATTCCTCGACGTCTGTTTTCGCAGAGGCCCGGTCTGGGAAGTTGCGTTCAAGTATTCTACTCCGGTAACCTTATGCCTCCATCCTCCCAAATAAGGCTTGAAAATCGCTTGTTTTTCCATTTCCTTCAATTGGTAAGATCATCTAAAGAAAAAAACGTTAGTTTCTCTCCAAATGATGTTTCACACAACATAAAAATACTTTTGCTTTTGTATCAACACGACGGGAAATAGAAGTTCAAGCGTGGCGCGATCTCGTCATTGTTTTTATATTCATAAGGAATGGAACATATCTTCAGGATGGTCTAAACGGATCGGAAGTAAGAAAAACGTCAGAATTGAATAACACGAGAATAATATTGAACATTGCTATAAAGCCGCGAATAGATAAGGCTAAAGTAGTGTAGCGAGACAAAACGTATTCACACTTGAAACTCAGACACATCTTTTATCTTGCGTAATTTATTTACAGCTCACATCAACTTGTAACTCTTAAGAAGAATGACACATTCATTCGTAATATTCATCTTAGACGTCTCTTTTAAGAAACACTTTACGTGTGTTATATAATTTATATACATGTATCACTTCCTTCCAACGTAGAAGTCTACAGGCAAAATGGTGCAACAAATGCATTACTTCAAGATTTACCCGAACCTCAAGTTCTGTCCGAAGGTGGAAGAAAACATATGTAACATGGAGATCACTTAGAGACGTGCGTAGGATGAAAATAAAAAAAAAGTTGATTAAGAGACAGATGCTTTCTGCATAGAGAAATGAAAGTAAAATAAATAATATGTCCTTTATATTGTGGAAGATACAAGATATGTAATTTAAGTTATTTTAATCAGAGGAAAGTGTCGATGACAAGAGAAATCGAAGACCGGTGGTTCTTTAGAATCCTTCTTATGTCCGTCAGCTAGTAGCTTCAAAACCACGAAATTCGTCTTTGCTACTTTCAACAAGTTGTTGATCTGCAACGAAAAAAAAAGAAAATTGCGTTTTAACCATTAAATTGAGACACAACTACACTACAGCGTATCTTTTATAGAAACCTGTTATAAGTTCATGTTTCTGCAAAAACTTACTTCGTTTTCAATTAAGCTATTCGCTGGGTACAGCAGTAACGCGCGCTCTAACATATTTCTAGCTTGATGGAAATGTCGACAGCCGGCGACATATTGCATCTCGCTCGTAACTTTCTCCTGAAAAAAAAAAAAAAAATACAAATTTATGAATTATTCATCGCTGGAGCAAACACGAAATTGCTTGAGAATTCAGCTTACGTTTCGCTTGTGCATTTGAGCATTTGTCATGTCTAAGAATTCTTGATAATGAACAGGTGGTGGCGTCAACAGGGAAGAAAACGGCAATAATCTATGCTCATATCTCACTCTCTCAGAATCAAACTGCATCTCAGGAAGCGGGATTTTTCCGTCCATACGAAAACCGACTAAAGCCTGAAAATTAATTGCTTTGTATTTTATACATATGTATTAAATCAGTCAATCATATACAAGATTTGTTGCTTTCCTATTAATTTCTGTCTCGTAGAAAATTATCAATTTGTTTGGGTATAAGATAAAATAAAAAAATTAAATTCAAAAATATCAAAAATGAAGAGGAATGGAAAAACATCAATAGACGTCTGAAAAATACTGAGTTAATGTATTATTCTATTCATGAAAATTATTAATATTTCGAAATCAAATAATTTCATTTTTAAACTTTTTGACAGGTACGAAATCTGATACACCAACCTAGTATCAAATTGTACATTTTCGACCCCCATATATGTGATAAGTATACTTTAAACAATCTATTATTTACTTTGTAATATCCGCCACATATGTTCTGCATCGCTTGATACATCAATATTTCCAGATTATATGGTCTCGGAGTTGACTTCTTCTTCTTGTTTTTCGAGCTCTTTTTACCACCTCTGCCCTTATGCGTATCATTGTGAACATCTTGCTCCATCAAGAACGTATCGGCCCGCGTAATTGCAGACACCAACCAGCCGTATAGAAATTCATATAAATACCAGAAGATATAATGATACTCGTGCACCGAATATAACTCGAGCTCGAAGCCACTCAAGAGATACATAACCATCACACGTAACGTGTGGTACAAAATCCAAGTGCCGAAACAAGCCAAGTGAGGCCTTGGCGTATCACTCTTCATAGATAGAGTGTGCAAGTAGCCATCAACTCTCTCTGCCTATAAAGTACGCACATATATATATATATCTCGTATGCATATATGTTATATATACTTGGTGAGAAAGAGATTGTAACAAACGTGCAGCGAAAACAAATCAAGATGTTTGAAAAATTGAAAGAAACATGAAGCGAACAAAATATTCTTACTTCATCTTGTAGCGTCGCAAAGTCTTCCAACAAATGTGCCAATTTGTCTCTTTGCCTTGCCCTGTTGTGTCCGCTGAGTTGCAACAAGCTCCCAAACAAACTGACGCAATGCAATAGGAAACTGTCGACGTACTCTTTAGCCTGGTGATTTTGCAGCAGCGTGCTTTTCGGCATTAGCACGGGCGGCGCGATAAAATTTCGCGCTGAGTCTCTTAGCACATCGGCAAAATTGTGCACACCGAATACGCGATTAGTGGTTGGCAAGTAAACGATTTGCAGCATAGACCTAGACAATATGCAAGGGCTCTGACGCGAGAATTCTAAGAAAAAATCCTAAAAGGGAATTTGTTTACTTCTCGTGTAAATCACGCACCGATATCAAAAATTTAACGCTTGATTCTTGCACTTACCAAGGCTGCGTGAAACCCGACATGATTCGTAATCTTAATAACCATTTTGAAACGGTTTATCAGCTCGATTAAATATTCCAAAACATCTACTCTCGGCTTGATTTTTGTGTAACGAGGAAACGTTGGTGGCAATAGTCTTTGATTCACCATCGGATCAAAGCCCATGATATTTGGATGATTAGCTGTAATTAAAACCAGCGAATAATGATGAGATCGCGTGAGGTCATGCATAAAAAATATGGAATGTACAATTCTTCATTCATGTAACATTTTCCTGATACTGTATACTTACAAATTTCATCAGCTTTCTCTCCACGCGTCACTGTTAAGATCATAATGTGAAGCATGTCGGAACAGTTCGACAATAATCTCTGACAGTCATTTAAATTCTGTTGCAACTGCTGCTTTCGGCCCATTAATGTTAGCACTTGATAAAACATCTTTGTAAAACGGATCCTCGCATAAAGCGCTATTCCATCGTTATACTGCAAGTAAATATTGACGATAACTGTACAAATAAATAAAATGTTTCATTCTTATACTTAAAAAAAGATAAATGATAAAGGAAGTTACCTCTTTCTCAGACTCTACATCGACAAGTTTTATTCTACTCTTTCGATGTAGCTCCTCCTCCACTTCTCTTAGCATTGATATTATCTTTTGTTCTGTAATATCTTGCTGCAATCTGTAGCCATAGGTGACACTTTGGAAATCCTCCTCCTCAAATACTAACGCCTTATTAATGCAATCTTTGATTATCTCGATTATCTTGTATACTGCATAACAAAAAGTCTTCAGAGGTTTATCCAATATTTGTCCAGGCTGATGCAAATACAAGTTTGTAAAGACAGTCTGGGCTAAACTGTGGCCTTCCAACCAAGACACTATGCACGCATATGTAGAATCTATTATCCCAATGACTTCAGCAGGTGTGAAGTTGTCCAATTTAATTGCACCTGAGTCGACTGCTTGAGTAAAAGTACAAGGTTTATTGTTCCCTCTATTGCACAACATGCCGGCATCCATTTTTGGATCCATCATCTCAATGGCAGACATAGCTTCGAATAATCCAAATAACTCATCATGTAACAATTCTCCGAGTTCCAGATCTAGATGCAGAATACAGAAAAATATACTTATTGATATAAAGGAAATGATTAACAAGTTCAATTAATCAATCTTTTAAATCAAACACAGCTAGTAATATTTCAATTTTAAAAACAGCTTATCAAATAACATGATAATTCATTACTGTAATAATATGTTACGATACACTATTATAAATTGATGGATTTATATATAATAAATATTGCTCTTATATGTGATTAACATATAATGTTTGTTACAATTTAATATGATATATATCACTTCCATCTCCAAAATCAATTTTAGCAATAAAGTTAGAGAAAACAAAATTGTTCTTCTTGACCTTCATACAAAATGTCTAATAATAATAATACAGAATAATTCAGCATAGATACACCAAGAGATTTTAATTATGGCTTCCTGAGTTATTTCATTGAACAATTTCATGAACTTCTTAAAAAATTACAGCTTAAGAAAAAAGGAAAATTTAGTCATTCGGAAAAGGAATATTTAAAAAAAAAAAGCACGGGGCAAAGAGCAAAGAAATTCTATCGGCAAAGGTTAACGTATCGATCGATCCAGTACCTGTGATAGCTTCGAAGAACTCTTGCGTAATGTCCACCCAATTGTGTGTCACTTGATCGAATCTACAAGACAAATGACACAAGATGAATTAAAAAATACCGCCCTACGAAAGTCGCGAATGACCGAAGCGATTTAGGTTAAATCACAACGATCGTCAGGGTGAAACAGCGACGACGCGACGTATCGTCGCGTCCATCGTTCGCAGGCGAACCATAAAGAGGGCTCACCGCTGTGTCCCGTATTTGCGAGAAAACTTACGCCGAATCTTTATCCTCATTCATGTCAATCGAATTCTGATCCTCTCCCATGTTCGCCATTTTTGTGGACAATTATACTGTCACTTCTTCGTAGAAAAGCGCCACATCTGACTGCCTGAACTCTCTTAGACCCATAGACTTCTATAGTATAACCAGAGAGGAACGTGAGAGCGGCCAACACGGTGTTTTTGACGACACCGACTTTCCGCACTGGGAAAGGGCGCCATCTGCATCCATTTTGAGAGGGAAACTACAATGCTACATCCACTTTCAGGTTTCGGCGGTAAAACCTGTATGTGGTGGCAGTCCGTGCTTCCATCCATATTAGCGTACTTGACAAGCACGGTCTCGCACATTATTATGCGTTTATAACATGAATTAACATGTTAACACGTGCAAAAAAAAAAGAATTGACATTGTGTATGATTAATATCATGAAGATCATATGAAGTGTCCGGTAATTAGCTGCCAACCCGAAGTGTGAGGATAGATTGGGTTAAGACAAACAAAAGTCCCATACCATTTTGCGAGATTCGCAATAATTATCGAGTTATTAATGACAGAAATCTGAGGAGTAAAAGCGCGCCGACATAAATGATTCGAAAAGCATTGCAGCTGCTTGGGGCAGCGATCATGAATCTTTTCTCTGGCGTGAACTAATAAAAAATGAAAGACTTCTGTGAATCAATGAAAAATGAAAAATTTTATATGAATTTGTGAAAATCGAAACATTTCACACGACAATTGAGTCGTTCAACATGGCAGTTACGCATTCTGGATAATTCAATGAATACCAAAGAAATCAAAATGATCAAAATAATAATGTCCGTGTAGTCTGAAGAATATTACGTGACACGCAAAATCCGTTTGATATAATATCCAAAGAAAATATTTCAAAATAGGTATGTACAGGTAATATAAACCTTATGCACCAACGATATATACTACAAAGACTGATGGCCTTACGGGATTTAGCGTACCAGAGAAACTTCCCTGGTGAGGCACCCGGGCGAAAGAGACCGTCTCGCATTTAGCGCAGTAAAATTTAATGGGAACTAATACTTTTCAATCCTTTTCTTCAGATCAAATAGATTCAGAATTCAGACATATTCAAAATGTCAATACTTTTTAATACGTTTTAATTCGACATTTTATACAGGGAAGCAGGACGAAGGGAATGGGATGCGGGCAACAATACATCATGCGTGTCCAGACGTGTCAAATCGTTTATTATAGAGGAGACTTTGATACGGCAACATGTATTCGAATATTTAATCGTCCCATGGACCACTTATATATAATAAAAAAAAAATTAACGCGGATAAATGAACGATTCGTATCAATTTTTCATCTCTTATAAAGAAATGAGAGAATAAATCAGTACCAAAAATCGAAGCTGACCTAATTTATTCATCAAATTAACGCGGATTAATGGACGATTCGTATTAATTTTCTGTTTTCTTATAGAGAAATGAAAGAGTAAATCAGTACCGAAAATCGAATATCGATTAATACCATAAATCAGTGTCAAAAAATTGCACACGTCCAATGACAATTTGTTCTTATTTTTCAGGTACATACCCCTCTAATCTTATTCAACAAATTAACTCAGATAAACGAACGATTCGTATCAATTTTTCTCTTTTTATAGAAAAATGAAAGAGTAAATCAGTACCGAAAATCGAATATTGATCAATACCGTAAATCAACGTCAGAAAATTATCCACGTGCAATTACAATTTGTTCTTATTTTTTAGGTACTTATCCCTCTAATTGACTCAACAAATTAACTTGAATAAACGAATGATTCGTATCAATTTTTCTTCTCTTATAAAGAAATGAAGGAATAAATCAGTACCGAAAATTGAAGACCGATCAATATTTAATTGTATGTATACTTTATTGATTCCCCTGGCGGGGTTACAAATTCTAATATAATCTCTCCTCCTTACTTCCTATAACGCTCGCCCCTTCCCCCTCGCACACACACACACACACTCCCATCCCCCGCCCCTCCTTAAATCTACTTTACAAATATCTTACATCTACTCGCTCGCTTATCTCTTATAATTAATTGTTTGCTTATCAACTATTCTTATATATATGTATATATCTATATTTCTATGCCGCTGTTATTCCTATAATTCTTATTTCCTACCGCCGATTTTCGCTTTCCTCCATTCATTCCATTCCTTCACACTCTCTCCCTCGCTCTCTCTCTCTCTCATCCTTTTATTCCTCCTCTTCCTCCCTCTCGTCCCTCCACTCCTTCCACCTCTCTCAACCCCTCTCTCCCACCCCCCTCTCTTAGCAGCCTTTCTACCACCTATCCCCATCCCTCTTCCTCTCCCCCCCATCGTGCACGATCAATATTAAATTTATTCATCAAATTAACGCGGATAAATGAACGATTCGTATCAATTTTTCTTTTCTTATAGTACAATGAAAGAGTAAATCAGTACCGAAAATTGAATATTGATTAATACCATAAATCAGTGTCAGAAAATTGTCCAAGTACGATGACAATTTAATCTTATTTTTCAGGTATTTACCCCTCTAACTTACTCAACATATTAACTCTGTTAAACGAACGATCCGTATCAATTTTTCTTTTCTTATAAAGAAATGAGAAAATAAATCAGTACCGAAAACCGAACACCGATCAATACCTAATTTTTTCATCAAATTAACGCGGATTAATGAACGATTCGTATTAATTTTCTGTTTTCTTATAGAGAAATGAAAGAGTAAATCAGTACCGAAAATCGAATAACAATTAATACCACAAATCAGTGTCAAAAAATTGCACACGTGCAATGACAATTTGTTTTTATTTTTCAGGTATATACCCCACTAATCTTATTCAACAAATTAACTCAGATAAACGAACGATACTTATCAATTTTTCATGTCTTATAAAAAAATGAGAAAATAAATCAGTACCGAAAATCGAAGACTGTTCAATATCTAACTTTTCATCAAATTAACGGGGATCAATGAACAATTCGTCTGAATTTTTTCTTTTCTTATAGAAAAATGAAAGGAGAAATCAATACTGAAAATCGAATATCGATCAATACCGTAAATCAGTGTCAGAAAATTGTCCAAGTACAATGACAATTTGTTCTCATTTTACAGGTATTTATCCCTCTAATTTATTCAACAAATTAACTCGAATAAACGAATGATTCGTATCAATTTTTTTGTCTTATAAAGAAACGAGACAATAAATCAGTACCGAAAATTGAAGACCGATCAATATTTAATTTATTCATCAAAATAACGCGGATGAATGAACGATTCGTATGAATTTTTTTTTCTTGTAGAAAAATAAAAGAGTAAATCAGTACCGAAAATCGAATATCGATCAATATCAGAAATCAGTGTCAGAAGATTGTCCAAGTGCAATGACTATTTGTTCTCATTTTTCAGGTACTTACCCCTCTAATCTTATTCAACAAATTAACTTGGATAAACGAACGATTCGTATCAATTTTTTTTGTCTTTTATAGAAATGAGAAAATAAATCAGTACCGAAAACCGAATATCGATTAATGCCATAAATCAGTGTCAGAAAATTGTCCAAGTGCAATGACAATTTGTTCTCATTTTTCAGGTACTTACCCCTCTAATCTTATTCAACAAATTAACTCGGATAAACGAACGATTTGTATCAATTTTTCTTTTCTTATAAAGAAATGACAGAATAAATCAGTATCGAAAACCGAAGACCGATCAATACCTAATTTTTTTATCAAATTAACGCGGATAAATGAATGATTTGTATCAATCTTTTTTTCTTTTATAGAGAAATCAAAGACTAAATCAGTATCGAAAACCGAATATTGATTAATACTATAAATCAGCGTTAGAAAATTGTCTAAGTGCAATGACAAGTTGTTTTCATCTTGCAAGTACTTACCCCACCAATTTACTCTACAAATTAAGTTGGATAAAAGAAAGATTCGTATCAATTTTTATTCTCTTATAAAGAAATTAGAGAATCAGTCAGTACCGAAAATTGAAGACCGATCAATATTTAACTTAATCATCAAATTAACGCGTATAAATGAACGATTCGTATGAATTTTTTTTCTTATAGAGAAATGAAAGAGTAAATCAGTACCGAAAATCGATTAATACTATAAATCAGTGTCAGAAAATTGTCCAAGTGCAATGACAATTTGTTCTCATTTTTCAGGTACTTACCCCTCTAATCTTATTCAACAAATTAACTCGGATAAACGAACGACTGGTATCAATTTTTTTTGTCTTATAAAAAAATGATAAAATGAATTAGTACCAAAAACCGAAGACTAATCAATACCATAAATCAATGTCAAGAAAATTGTCCAAGTGCAATGACAAGCTGTTTTCATCTTGCAGGTACTTACCCTACTAATTTATTCAACAAATTAAGTCGGATAAAAGAACGATTCGTATCAATTTTTATTCTCGTATAAAGAAATTAGAGAATCAGTCAGTACCGAAAATTGAAGACCGATCAATATTTAATTTATTCATTAAATTAACGCGGATAAATCAACGATTCGTATGAATTTTATTTTGTTATAGAGAAATGAAAGAGTAAATCAGTACCGAAAATCGAATATCGATTAATACCGTAAACCAGTGTCAGAAAATTATCCAAGTGCAATGACAATTTGTTCTCATTTCTCAGGTACTTACCCCTCTAATCTTATTCAACAAATTAACTCGGATAAACGAACGACTCATATCAATTTTTTTGTCTTATAAAAAAATGAGAAAATAAATTAGTACCGAAAACCGAAGATTGATCAATACCATAAACCAATGTCAAGAAAATTGTCCAAGTGCAATGACAAGTTGTTTCCATCTTGCAGATACTTACCCTACTAATTTACTCAACAAATTAAGTCGGATAAAAGAACGATTCGTATCAATTTTTATTCTCTTACAAAGAAATTAGGGAATCAGTCAGTACCGAAAATTGAGGACCGATCAATATTTAATTTATTCATCAAATTAACGCGGATAAATAAACGATTCGTATCAATTTTTTTTCTTATAGAGAAATG